CCCCAAAACCCCAAAACCCCAAAACCCCGATCTCGATTAATTTATTGCAAAGAGATTAAGGTAAAAATAGGGATTTACCAATTAAGCTTTATTACATAATTCTTCCCAATCGATCTCACTTATGTTGAAAGAATCTGCAGTCGAGCTGCTGTATTGAGCCATCCTTTGAGACCAAGTACTTCGCCTATCCCCTCTACAGTTATAATGGTCTTTGAATAGGCTGAGAATATCGCACAAGTCTTCTCATTTAAAAAGTTGAGCAGAAATGCTTTCAAGGAACTTGATAAAGAGAGAATTGAAATAACTCCAGCCTTTTTCGAAAAAATTGTCTAAATGATATTTCTACAGATATTAGCCAGGACACTATACAGATTCTCTGAGAGGTATTAAGTTGCAGAAAAGACTCATGACAGGTTCAAGAGTTATCATATCAAATGTCACCTATAAACAATCAAATCTTGATCAAGATTAGCTCTTACATTATTCTTTTTCTATAGAATATTAAAAATGTTGATCTTACCAAAAAGTTGTAAGTTTTGGGAATCTTCTTCTTTGCTAGCTCTCCGATGCTTTCTGCTCTCTCGTAAAATCCTTCAAGTCCTTTTAAGTAGTTCTTTCTAAGCCCATAATCTTCAATAAGCGAAGTGAATAGCCAAAAGGTGGAGACAGAGTCGCAATGATAGGCAAGTGAAGCTGCTATAAAGTTCATGCCTTGAACATATCCTCATGATTTATCATAAAGTGAGAAGGCAGTGAGTACATCAGCAACGTTGTTATAGCCCTTATTTGATTTTTTAAAGTACTCCTCATCTCCCATGGTCCTTGAGACATCGTTCCTAATCTGTAAAAGAGATTCCTGAGCAATGGTATCTGTATTTGCAAGCTTAAGAAGATCATGAAAGATTTTAGCATCTTTTTCATACTCAAAGGATTTTGAATAATTTTGGTCAGCATATTCAGTCCATTTTTGGGCTGCTTCACAATGATAGGTGTTAACATTCCCTCATTCTCATTTGTACTGAGCATTTTCACCTCTAGAGTCTTCATGGGAATCATATTGAGTTGATCTTGTACCTTTAGAATCTTCTACTTTCCTTAAAATCTTCTGGTTGACTGTCCTCAGGTTAAGATTGTTTTGATAGTTCCATTTAAAAACTCTGTCATTGCTTGATTTCCTCGTATGGTGAGGAATATTTTTAGACGTCTTCCTTTTCTTTCTATCAAAATAAAGGTGTGAATTACTTTATGGAAACATTGGCACTTTTAGAAGCAACTTTAGGACTGAGGTATGCTTTCTTGTCAACCTTGGGAGATTGCTTGATTTTTCCATCTCGGTAATAATGGGTTGCAAAGGTTGAAACTTTCTTTCCTGATAAATCAATTTTTGCTCTTGAAAATTTAGGACTCCCTAGAGCTCATATTAGCCTTGCTAATGCTTCGTTCAAACTTACTCCTTCTGAAGATTCTTTTAGGGTCCCTCTTGGAATACACTTCATAAGTTTCTGTTAGAGTTTTAACTCTAAATTTATCAGCTTTCTGCTTGTTTCTGCAACTTTCTATGAATCAGTTAGTCTTTTGGGCAAAGTATTTATTATTTTCTCTTTCCTAAACTAATTTCAAGCCTCAAAAATATAATCACTAAGCTTGTACAAACAGCTAGAACACAAGTCCCAAAAACTCTCATCTAACAATATAGCACCATGACCAAATCATATCGCAACACCAAAACCACATTTCTCCAAGAAGTCCCCTTCTCCCAATTCCTGGCTCCCACCCGCACAAAAACTCTCTGGAAGAGCAGACACTGGATGGAGTCAGCCAGGACAGGAAGGAATTAAGGGAGGGGTGGGCGAGTGGAAGAGGGATAGATTGGGTGGGAAAAGTTTTCGCGGAAATTTGGGTTGAGGTGTAGAAGGGAGTTTTGGGGCTGTGTCTTTGGTGGAAATTGAGGCGTTTGTGGAGTTGGTAGAGGAGAGGGGTTATAGTGCCGGGTTTGGGTAGGTGAGAAAGGGTTTAGTGCCTTTTTGATTTGTGAATGATAAAATTGGGGGGGTTAGGGGATTTTGGAAAATGGAGTGTTTAATAGTAATAATTAGGTTAAGGAACAAAAGATATTGTCTGAGTTGGATATGAAAAACTATTGAGCAAATAGCAAGTGTCTTTGAGATGTTTCAATGGCTTTATCATTAATTATAAGAGATACAGAAGTATTCCTAGGAATAACTCTAAAAAGAGAAGTGGATATTTATAAAGTAAGGGATAAATAATAGAAGGTACATAATTGAGGGAAATCTTAAGTCTCTTTTTCGGTGAAATAGATATTTTAGACTCAGGAGTTAATCTAAATTATAAAATTTAATAGCAGTATTGCTTATAGCTTAATCTAAGTCTATTCTTCTTCCATACAATTTATCATTTACTTAGTGGAGGTAATGGCCAAAGGCACTCACAATTCATGAACTATTTCTTAATTTTAATTAATTTAATCAGATCACTAAGTAGCATCAGAATTTTTTCAAGAATATCTTAAATTTCATCTAAATTTTAGCTCTAACTCCCAGGATCAATATATCTAATCCTCAATGGCTAACTTCTGGTTTAAATTGCCATTAAGTTATAAGAACAATTTCATGCATAAATATCTACAAGCCTCCTCCAAGCACTGTATCGGAGAATAAATTTTAAAACTACTAATAATTTGATAAATAAAATGGTTTCACTTCTCTTTTAGCTAAGAAGTTGAAATTCTTAAGAATTTAGGAACAAATCTCCGACATAATAGACAATGATCCTTCACTGTATCGATTCTAACATTAATGATAAAGAGAATGCCTAATTTTTGAATTTCTACATACCTCTATCAGCTCTTGACTTCTTTATGTACTTCAAAACAGAGAGATTTCATGCCTCGTTAAGAGGGACTATCTCTTTAAGAAGTATAAAGCTCGAGTTATTTGTCGTAGTCTGATTTCTACCAGGACTGCCTTTATTAGGTGAATCTCCGAATTCGTATGCTTTCTTACTCTTCAGGCTTGAGTAAAAGCTTTCAGATACTTCAGTTTCTGATCCTTTGCACTTTTTCCTCTTTTTGATTTCCTTCTTGGTCAAATACCCGCTCAGATATTTATTTGCGAGGATTCTTCTCACACTTTGAGTAATTTTTAGTATGAGATATTTTCTTTAAAGCATTTGAAACTTTAAAAATTGATCCCTTCGATGGGCTGTTTCTTGATCCAAATCTTCCTGTGTTACTAAATTTCTTCTTGAGATACCCAATCGTAAAAGGGTTCTTTTCTTTTGAAATATCGATAGATCTTGAGGGAGTACCTCAATTTTTTGTTTTTTTCGTCTTCAAAGCTAATAAGACATCCTCGTCAGAGCTTTCTGTGTTACAAGTGTAAAATTTCTTAGGAGTAACTATACAAAAGTGTAAGGAAATCAAAAAGGATATGGATGGAAGTATTTAGAGCAAAGGAGTAGATCTGATTTTGCTTTATAGTCAGCACTTGAATTATATAAAGTCTTATTAAAGCTTCTTAAGTAGCTCTACCCTACAGGGTGTTTTGTTTAATCCGCAAGTATATATCTCTAGTCAGCCTTACCTCCTCAAATTCCTCCATCATACTGATTAATTGAGCTGCTATGAGTCTCAGTATTCCGTATTGGCAACTTCTGGAAGGGGCTATGCAGGTTTGAAATACCTGTTTTATCTAAACCATTACACTTAAGCTTACAAGGAGATTGACTAAGAGTAGAGAATTTAGGGAAAGTTCCTGTGCGATGCATCTTGATTTAAATATTTACAATACAAAAAGTATATCAATCAAAATATTTAAAAAGGGGTTTTGGGGTTTTGGGGTTTTGGGGTTTTGGGG